TGAGCCTGGCACTGCCATAGTGTAGGACAGGAAAGTCTGGCACATTAGAGGCCAAGCTGCTGGCTGTCCTTCCAGCCAAAAGCAAAAGGCAGGGTGACCTCCACCCGTGTCTGTGGCTTCCAGTGTCTCTCCAGACCAGGTAAGCACAGAGAGGTGGGGTACTTCTCCAAAGAGATGCAGAGGCTCTGGAAAGACACTGCTGCTGCCTGCAGCGACGGTTTGCTTTTTGATACACAAACCCAAGCCCTGAGTAATGCTACTGCCTATTTTCCTGTTGGATTTCCCTTCTAGGGTTAGAAAAAGATTAATTGTTCTGCAGGTTTTAACCTCATTTCATGGTGGTCATCCCACATGCTGTACTAACCTAACTACACAGAAGTGTTTCACAAGGCATAGTGAAGACCACAGCACCTACCGATGGTGAAGACCACAACACTTAACCAGCCCAGAAGAGCACAGCAAATTGCTTCCTACCCACTGTGTATGGTCGGCAGTGTCATCTGGTGTTGACAGCACTGACCTCCACCACTGGAGTTTGCCTGTGATCTAGAGCACATGACAGAGAAGGTAAGGAAGGACATCTGCATAAGGGATCCTACACCCTATAGCCTCATTTCCAAATAAAATTAAATGTCTTTCAATCATTTTTAAATCAAAAGCCTTCACATTTGCCCAGATGAATTATTCAGAATTACAGTTCCTTGAAAAAGCTTTTAACTCCTCCTTAGAAGGCAGTTTGTTTAAAGGTGTTCAAGTTGTGTGTGTAAAGTCAAAATCCCACTTTCAAACCAACCTTCTGCAACATTGCTTCTATTCTGAAAAGTGACTGAAAAAGTGGCACCTTTTTTGCTCAAGTGATCACTTTTCCATGGTTTCTTGAGACCAGAGAGTTATCAAAGCACTTGAGGCTCCTCTGCCTACCGTATTTAAACACTGTGGCATGAGCAAAGAAAAACAAAGCTGGTGATAGCTACTCAGCGCAGCACATTATTAACCACACTCTTGTCTAGATGATTCAACTGCCCATCTGAAAGAGTAAAAACGTGATGGAGTAAAAGAACATTCTGCAGAGACTTGTGCTGTGAAAGGTTCTCGGTGGTTTGATCTGTGGTTGAGATTACGGGTATGCACCTTTTACTGTTGACCATTCGTAAAGAACAGAGTACTTGCACAGAGTGTGAAGAACGGAGCAAATGTAAGGAATGTGAAGAATGGAGTACGCGCAGAGAATGGAGGACTTGGAGTACTTGCACACTTCATGGTAACTGCTAAGCAGAAATTGATGTAAAATTTAATTGTAATTGATGTAAGATTAATTGTGGCCTGGAGTAGAAGGCAATGACTGTCAGACCGCAGAGAGTTCGAGGACTGTCTCAGAGCTTGAAGGACTCCGAGGGCTGCCAACTGTTAACACTGTAATTATGTTATTTTTATAATTCAGGCATGTAACAAAGGGTGATTACAATGTTAAGGAATAAATGTTCTGCCAATAACATGAACACTGCCTGAATAAATTACTGGTGACATGAAGCTGCACACTTTAGAAAATAAACACACAAGCCATACATCTTGGCATTGATCTGGATGACAGGAACACTCACATACATTTGGTTAGGTGACATTATCTGAAGCACAGGAGAGGTTTGATTTCGCTGCAATGCTATAACATCCCTAGGAAGCACACAGAAGGCACCTGGGACCCACTGCTTCAAACCTCCCAAGGAATAAGCACTGAAGTCTCTTTGTAGAAGCTCTGTCCCACCACAGGCTCACATGGAAGCTGAACGCCTATGATAGCTCTCCTCTCTTGCTAGAACACCTGTGTAAGGAACAGCAGCAAAAGCAGAGAAGTTTTCTTAACTGCAAAGTAGCCTGCAACTGCTAGCAAACCTTGGGCCTTCCATCTCTGTGTTTCAAGAACGAGGCCAAGTTCAGCGTGTGTCACAACAGTTCACACGCGTTTACTATTAGATGTGTAAAATATCAACCTAAACGGCTTGTAGGATGAACAAGCAAAAAGAACAAAAGAAGAATGACTTAGATGTGGAAAAATATTGAAACAGCTATCTAAGTACCCAATTTGTAACCACCTCATCAGTAGCAAGGTGATAAGGAGCACCCATTGTGAGTCTGCCAAAGTCAAACTGAGTCAAACTAATTTAACCGCTTTCTTTGGCAGCGTCCCTGGGCTATGGTGCAGTTCACAAACTGGTAGCAGGAAACACCCAGCTTTAGGGACTGGTGAGGGACAGGGGACCAGAAAGCTGCTGGGTACACAGCAGTGACTACAAGTAGGTAGTGGCAGCTGCAATGAGCGTAGAGGTTTGGAGCACCGCTGAGAGGGCTTCAATTGGGCAACACAGAAAGCAAGAACAGACAGAATTCTGGCAGTTGGCAGACATCCTCTCAGGTCACCACTTCTGATTTTCTCCTGTCCAAAGTCTAGATAGAGTGTGGGATGCTTGTAAACAGCTGCATAGAGTGCTGTGACCAATTTGAAGCTCAGCACGTTAAGAAAGTTGCTGCTAAAAGAACGTTTTAATGTTGAGAAAAACGTAAAGGAAGATTAAAATATAGCAGGTAGGTTCAGTCTAGAGATGAAAGAGTTGATGAGGACAGTCTTCAGATATGGAATAGACTGGCATAAAAAGAACAGCGATGAGTTAGTCCCCGTGTAATTGGCTCGGTCCTTGTAGGTTAATTCAGTATGTTGGGGGCATAACTAGACTAACAGTGCAATGCTACAGGAAGCAGCTTAAGCTGTGTAATCTGCCATATGGGAGGCTTCTGAACAACACGGAGGACAAAAACCAGTTAAGAAAGGTCCAGACACACTTGATACGCTTCAGAAAAAGGAAATTGAATAAATTGCTTCTAGAGTTTCCTTATAATCATGTGTTTGATTCTACAGTTAGCATGAAAAACACTTATGCTTGCATGAAGCCACGACATTTTTTAAAGTAAGTTAAACTCAGAGGAAGAAAAAATAATTAAACCAAACCATGTAGATTTGCAGCTTAAATTTGGTAAAATAATTCAAGTAACTTGATCTTTATGTGTTAACATTGCTATTTCATGTTGTCAACATCATCAAAACCAGCTCCACAAAGGTAACTGCTATTTCTGTACTTTTTCTGAAGAGAAGTGGTTACTAATAAACTAACATCAAAATAACTTGCTTTATTGCCAGTGATTTTATGTTACAATTTAGACTAAGTTATATTTGTATATTAAAGGGAATCAAAAGAAAATACATACTAAAACCAAATAAACAAAAAACCACAACCAAACAAAACCACACTGAAATTACTAATGACAATGTATAATCACTTTCAAAAATCCTGGTATTTTACGACTGACTTCCTGAACATTGTAATTCCAAATCAGAGTACTTCCACTTATTTGGAAGTAACAAAACTTATTTGTTTTCAGATTAGAGTAAAACTTTACAAAGGAAAGAAAGGTTAAAAACTGTGCATATGACTTATTTTACAATTAGTATTCAGATGCTTATTGGGTTCCGGAGGTAATTTGCTAGAGTCATAGATATAAAAATATAGAATCATCTTTATTAATGAGGTAGGTACTTATTCACATAAGGTTTCTTGGGATACAGCCTTCTATTTGGATTTCAGCTGGCCAGCCACTGTATCTGTTGTTCCTGTCAGAGTGGTTTATCTGTTAAAAAAAATTTAATTATAAAATTTAATTTTAATCAAAAAAATCAGTATTTGGTTCACCATTTACAAACTAGTTTGTCAAATCTTTTACAACAGATGGGAGTAATGGAGTAGAACTGGGAAGCTAAGTAGTACATTGTACATCTTGCTTGACATAATAGGTGAAGATTCCACCAGTTTCTCTTTTACACAGAGTGCTTTATTTATTTCCCAGATGGCTGTCAAAATATACACTAAATTGAACACCTTTTTCCTGTAGAAGCTCTGTAATATGAAGAAGATTGCAACAATATTCTGGGAAAAAAATAACTATGGAAATTCCACATGCCTTTGGAGGGAGTCAATATCATGAAGGGAACTGACTTCTGTATTGGGTTTTCTCATTTCTGTCTGCCACTGTGTCATACAGATGAGCACTAATGGGCTTACAGAAAGCAAATACAACAACATCACAGATGCAAACAGAAATCTGATATAAAACTGATTTTATTTCCCCTGAAGCTTGAGGGCAAGTTACTCAGAAAAGTTTTGTGATGCAAGCATTGCTGTATGTGCACGGCCAATTTGAGACAGTGTAATTTTCATATAAGAACAGTCTGTATTTTTATTAAGTCCTTGGAATTTGTCCTTCCAGAGAAAATGTAAGCCTCTGTACAGCATGACAGGTAAGACATTTCAAAACTGAGACTCTCTAGAATCACTGGTCACCTCTGAAATCTGTCTACAGACGATTTAGTGTTCATGTGGTAGAAGTCAGTGCTGTACAAGGCCCAGATCCAAAGCAAAGAATGATGACACATTAGAGAACTTGCTTTGTTTCATAGATTTCATAGATTTCTAGGTTGGAAAAGACCTTAGAGATCATCCAGTCCAACTGTCCCTAATCCCCATTAAACCATATCCCTAAGTACTGAGGCTTACTGAACAGCCTACAGTTATTACAGCTAACCCACCAAATCTGCACCCGAAAGTTATGCCTGGTATACAACCAAACACAAAGCGAAAACAAAATGAACCTGACCTTTTCTTTTTGGATATTATCCGGCAGCTTGAAGCCTTTGGCAGCTATAAAAGCCCAGCTTGACCTGAACTTCATATTCCATATTTCTTTACTTCCCAGCTCTTCTAGTAATTTTTTGGCAACATCTTTCAACCTAGGAAAAATCAGTGAAAAAAAGTGTTAAAAACTCAGGACGTGAAAAAAGCTGAAAAAGAACACAGCTGATTCATGCTTTACATTAGTAGGTCAGAAGAAGCAACAATGAGAAGTTTAAAAAATCCTGAGAGCTGTCTTAGTAGCGTACCATTAAACTCACAGAGCGAAATTCTTCCCCCTCTCTACATTCCTGATGTTAATACAATCTGTTAGTAACAGCATAGCATGACGAAAATGTATCATCTAAAATACTATTTGATGTTTCAACCCAAAGGACAGGGGCATCAAATGTTTATCAATCAAAAGATTAAGTCTTTCCCTTTATAATTACTGTATCATGAATTCAATAAAAAAACACTAAGAACTTGAAGAATCAGGTTCAGATATCAGAAGGAACGCAAACTAGATACATTATAATTGGAGGTGTTGATACCTTCTTAATAGAAGGTTGTGACTCAGAGGTAATAGCAGTGCCCTCTATGAGGTCAACTGGTGCTTTTAAACAAATGTAACACTAACCATCAACATATGTGATATGGGCAAGCCCTGAATGGACATGGAATCAAAACCTTTTAGGCAGGAAATGAGAGAACAATCCTGACTTGAAATGGTGTGAAATTTACCATTCCTTTACACCATTATGCGATAGTGATTTTCAAGCTATTCACTGCTCTGTTCCAAAGCCTATCATGAACAACTTACTTACCGAGCGCTTCCATCATCATGAGTCACCATCAGAAAGAGAGACCCTTCTGGTGCATTTTCAATGAAAGTCATCATCTCTTCTGAGTGGTCTGTTGAACCAATTACACAACTGATTACTTATTACACACAAACCACATTCTACTGCTTTCTACTTGTTTTCACTTTTTGGCCTCGTCGATTCAAAACGAGATCTAATCAGGCATTTTTTTTCTGTTTACAGGCAGAGGTCCTAGTCCTGAAAGGTGCAGAAAGCTGCCAGCTCTTGCTGAAATTTAGAAGAGCATGGATTGATCTGCGTTTCCCAGTAGCTAGCAAAGATACCTCTGAACAAAAGCCATTTACGCCTAGGGTAAGTATGCAGATGGTTTCTTATGCTTACCTCACACAATATTATATATGTGAGCAAAGCATAGAATAGACCAGGAGAAATCACTGCTATTCTGTGAGCTTCCTACTACCATGCTAACTACAGTTACGCACCCCACTGTACGCCCACTTTCATTAAGAGGCAGCCTATTTGCAGCACTAAGCTATTTATTGGTTTTGCGATTGTGAAACATACACAAAATACTCGTTTTCCATACAAAAAAAAATGTAGCAAGAGCCCTGGAGACATTACAGCCTACATACCGTATATAAAATTGTAGCCCCATGATTAGTCCCAATGTGATTTCTATTCATGCACGTAAGGTCACAAGCTTTCTTAAGTGGTCAGAGAATCATCTTCCAGTGCCTCATAGCATTCTGTTTCTCCTTACTAATAGGTAAGGAAACTGTTATCATTCAAAGTCTGGAAAATGTGTTAAAAGCTATTCTTAAAGAAGATCAACTTTCTAGCTACGTGAAGAGATGTTAAGAGACAGACTAGCATATTTCCTATGATGATTTTACAACTAAAAGAGAACAAAATATGACAGGAAAACGAACTTTGCTGAGTGAAGTATCTGGATGTGGTACCTGGTTAAGTGCTACTCTTACCAGACTGAAACAATGAAAAAAAAAAAGACAATTAAAAAAAGACAATTTGACAAATAAAATAAAAAAAAAAGGCAAGACAATTAAAAAAAAAAAAAAAAAGACAATTAATTATCTCAACCAACCGGAGAAATTCAGCTTTTCAGGCAAAATTTGTCATCAGATCTGACCGGAGCACATGAAGACAACAGCCTTTTATTTCTAGCTAATTTCCTTCTATAATACAATCATAGTCATTTGAAAGAGTAGAACAATTATATAAACATAACACTGAAACAAAAAAAGCTCTATTACACTCTTTTCCCTACCTCCTTCCCACATGTCAAAAAATCTTGTTGAATCAACTTGTCCTGTTTTATCTGTAATTATAAAAAGTTGTGTAAATATAAGCAAAACTTGTTAAATTCAACCATCATATACAGAGTTTTCAGCTAAAGCTAGGCATCTCTAACATTGTGTATCATTGTGCTTCTGAGTTTTCTTTTGTTTAAATTTTTAAATTAGAAGGAATATGGAATAACGTAAGTTTAAGATTTGGGAAGAATGTTTTGTTTCATGTAGCCTCTGAATCATCAAATGTGACTAAAGCATTTTTATCACTTTTTATTTTAAAGAAGGAATTCAGTTTACTGTGTACTTCCATGTTTTTATAAATACATATACTATACTAGGTCACAACCATAAACAGGAAAATTGGTTAAGCCGAAGACTATTTGTATGAGCTTAATACTATTCTGTGCAGTGTTTCAGATGAGCAAGCTTTCATACCATTTGAATCTCAGTGGACAGAAACTCAACACTCATCATCCCCATACCAGAAATTGGGCATGCAAACAATTAAGTCATTCCAAAACATTTTGGTCAATATTTGTCATTAATTATGCTGCTATTTAGTTGGCTATCTTTGTTGAAACATGTACAATTGCAAATACTTTTCAAATTTCTAAATCCATTTACCCAAAACCTGTTTCCCTGCTACAAGAGAGGATCTTTTCCATTTTGAGTGTGTCAGCTCATTTCTAGTGAGAAGACCCAGCAGTTCCTGATTCATTTCTGGCTTATCTTTGATCCATATACGGTAAAATCATGATGGCAAATTCTTCTGAACCTAGGATTCTAAATGGCAGGTTTATCACACTGATGAGGGGAAAAGATGGCAAAAATCTGTCAGTGGTAAAACAGCATTCTAGAACGGGGCTGCTTTTCAGCAGAGATGACAAAAAAAAAATGGAAAAGGCTGTAGTGAGAACTGCAGAAATCCACAGAATTCTTTCTCTCTCCCTCTCTGTTGTTAGCTTGGGCTTAACAGTTCTGCTTTCTTACAAAAGGCCATATTTATTCGAGGAAGAAAGAGTTACCATTACAGAATAAAACATAAGCGTGATGCCATAGGAAACTTACTGAGCACAGTCATTAACTTCACTGATCTAATTAGAGGACATGTAGAAAATATGTCTCACTACAAATCAGTTTGAGATAATGGATAGATTTACCTGCAGATGGAGATGAAAGTGTAGCTAAAATGATTCTATGATTCTATGAAAGAAATGGCTGTTTAAAAATGTGTAAATTTGATATATCACTTCTTCTTCCTCACTACTGTCAAATGCAAAGATGATGCTAGTTTCCTACTATTTGCTATAATCTTGCATATGCACTCAGGAAGACTATTTGCCCTCTTACTCTACAGCTCTATGCTGAAAACTCATTTTTAACTGTTTATCTATTATAAACAGTAAAGTTTTTATGATTCTTTATTGGAAAAAAAATAATGCAGTAGTTAATGGGCAAAAAGAAAAATGGGAACAGATTCTTTTCTATGGTAGTTTAACCCAGTGACTTCAATAAAATCAAGCAAGTTTAGACAAGGTCAAGATCTTGCTTAGCAATACTAAGACAAAAAAACTTGAACGTAAGCGCTTTGTGATCAAAGCCAACTTGACTGTGCATCTGAACTTCCTTTCTTCCCCTCCACCACGACATTTAGGTATTCATTTCTCTCAGGATCCATTATTGAATACACTGCACTTCATCACCATTCCTATTTATCTAAATTAAAATAGTGCCTCCAGATCTGGAATAAACTGCACCTTCTGCTTTCCAATAGCTCCTACTATAAGCAAAGACATATAATGACAGTTCAATATTAAGCTTTGAGTTTGTCTTTCTGTCCACTGACTAAGTCTGGGAAAGGAATTTGTACCTTGGAGCGGAACTGCAATTCTCAGCTACTGCTTGCACCTTAGCAGTGGAGCAGTGGGTGTCTTTTATCACAGACTGAACCTGAAAGTTGAGTCTTACTGCAGGAGATCATGGATACTTTTGCTATGTCACATAGAAGCAGTGCTTTTAGCTAATAGATTTCACATATACGTCTTCTATGCACACATTTTCTATTTTATTATACTGATTATAAACATGTTTCTTTTGTTTATCCAGGAGACTATTCCTCTCAAATACAAATTTGTTTTTCTTACATTTAACATGATTCAAGTTTGCAATTTTTTCCTTTCCTTTTCCTTCCATACCAGCAAGTAAAAAAAACAACAAAACAAACACACCCTCCCCAAGAACCTCTGTAAATTATTGCAGTACAAAGGTACGTCTCTCTCTAATGTTTTTTTCTCTTACTTACAGTTCACAATGGCAATGTTTATTCCTCTTCCAACATTACCCTTCTCTTCGCTTATAAGCCTAGAATAGAAATAAATACAGCATTAGTAGAATGCATCTGTCCAGATGGTAAGTCACCAATAGTAAGTCACTTTCTGATGTTCATGTTTTCTCCAGTTATTTAATTCAGGACTTTGCAGTAAACAAGAGCTATAGCTTAAAAATCTTACACATTATATCGGCCAGTTTCCTTCAACTACTTGTCTTAGTTGAAGACAAATAGTCTTTCAAAATGAGACAGATCAAGAAAGCATCTTGTACAAATGCAATCAGAAAGATAACGTAGAAAAAAAAAAACAAGATAGAATGTGGTTTTGTGGCAGTGTTCTGCCTGGACTATATCTACACAAAAGATCATTGTAAAGTTTTGAAGTCACTCTACCTGTCCAGTTTGAAAATCCATGAAAGCACCTGACTTTCAGAAGGTGTTGAGCATTCAGCATACTGTAAACTGACTATCCTGAACCACGAGGATTAAAAATCATACCTGAAAGCTAACAGTTGAATGCAGCTTATGTAGAGGAACAAATAAAATAACCTGAGATTGGGTATTTAAATAAAAAAAAACGGTAGGTGGTGGTTGAAAAAAAAGACTTAAATACTGTCAGATACATTCTGAAGTTTATCACCAGAATAGGAGGCCCCTGGTAGGAGCTTACTTGCTGCCAGCAAATCAAAATGAAACATCTTTCTTCACACTACAAAGCACTTGCTTAGATTTGAAGTTAGACTGGTACTCACAGCTCATCCTCAAAACAAATTTTAGCCAGCTTTGCTTTGCCACCACCACTAAGAATCCGATAGGCGTAGTTCTCAGGTAAGCAAGGAGTCCAGTGATCACACTTCTGCCTTTTTGGGACTGGGGCTACAAAAACAAAGATGAGAAAATGTTTTCTAGGATGCTGCATAAATAATTTCTACATGGAAAGAATCACTTAATGTCAACATGCTAAGATCAAACATATATGCACAGAATGCAATCCTGCCAATTTTCCAGTATCACGCCAACATTATCACAGATTTGCCCAGCCTTTAAGTTATCATTGACTTTCAAACAGCTGCTGAGACCAAGAGTAAGGTTATCCAGGCAAAAATGCCCCATATAGTATGATCTGATTTGAATCCAGAGTGATTATTTTGTGCCATTTCATGTAACAGGAAACAAGGGCTAGAGGGATGAAGATTCCTACCAATAGGTCGAAGTTAATAGTTATCATTCTCATTTTAAGCCTTTTTCTCAAGATAACGTAGTCACAGAACGAGAAAAATGTACACATTATGTGACCCAGTCAGATTAGAGGGAAAAGATAACGAAAAGCTAACCACAAAATTTGGTTAGTGATTCAACAGTTTACCATAACTGTAAAATACACGTGACAGAACCAAAGCTGCGGCTGCAGCTTTGTGCTTATATGCTGGCAAACAAACAAGGTGTTCTTACATTACTATTCAATTAATTATATTTGCATACTGGCAAACATAGGCTGACATTGTGTTCTTCAAAGATGGTGACTAAGAAATAGTTCAGACTTGCAAGCTAATTAATTACCTTTACACAGCGAACACCATTCTTACAAAAGCACATACCAAATAATCTATTAGCTAACAAGCCCTTTGTCATTAACCATGTAAACAAACAACTTTAGACACGCTGTAAGGAAAAATAAGAAATATAACTACGCACCCCTCAATATTGGTTTCTTTCCAATATCTTGAAGATTAGCAATAGAAGCCGTTATTACGTCTTTGGGTATAAGAGCAGCACATAAGTATCCCAAGTACCAAGCAGCCAATGACATCGACAGGAATCCTACTAGTCTCACAAAATCTGCCAAGGAAAAGAAAAATAAATAGAAAACCACAGTGAAATAAAGATGTTTTCATAGCAACACACAAAATCTTGTATTTTCTCTGGCATTGCTACACAAACTGGCTATTTTATTTCTGATACACTGTGTTAGCCAGAGCCTTCAGAGATGTGGCGATAGAGAATTTGTTGCATTCCCATCTCTGACAATTCCTTTCATACCTAAAACTCGATCTTTAAGCTGAAAACTCCTCCCAAGACTCCCCTCAATCCACACCCTTAACACTCCAAAGGATCATGAAGTTCAATCTAATCCTAGTAGGATTTTGGCTCTGAAAAGGAAGTACCAGATATGATACTACACATGACTACACAGAGGGCAGGTGGTTCCTGTTGATTTTCTGTGATAGGCACAGACTACAGGAATGGTTTAAAATGCTGACCATACAGGGAACTCCCTCCATCCACTCTTTTGACACGCCCAGTAAAAATAACTGAAGAAGGCCCAAATAATCTCGTTCACACAATGAGCTCTGACTGCAAACATGAACAACATGAACAGTGTTGGTGGATAAGGGAAGAGCAACTGCATCCTCTACCTGGACTTGTGCAAAGCATTTGACACTGGCCCACATAACATCCTTATCTCTAAACTGGAGAGACATGGATTTGACGGATGGACCACTTGGTGGACAAGGAATTGGATGGATGGTCACACACAAAGACTTGCAGACAACAGCTCAACGTCCAAGTGGAGGCTAGTGATGAGTGGTGTTCCTCAGGAGTTGCTGTTGGGACTGGCACTGTTTAACATCTTTGTCAGCAACATGGACAGTAGGATTAAGTGCACCCTCAGTGTGTTTGCTGAAGACACCAAGGTGTGAGGTGTGGTCGACACGCTGGAGGGAAGGTATGCCATCCAGAGGGACCTTGACAGGCTGGAGAGGTGGGCCTGTGCGAACCTCATGAAGTTCAACCAGGTCAAGTGAAAGGTCCTGCACATGGGTTGGGGCAATCCAAAGCCCAAGCACAGACTGGGCAGAGAATGTATTGAGAGCAGCCCTGAGGAGAAGGCCTTGAGGGTGTTGGTTGATGAGAAGCTCAACATGAGCCAGCAATGTGCACTTGCAGCCCAGAACGCCAACCGTATCCTGGGCTGCATCCAAAGAAGTGTGGCCAGCAGGTTGAGGGAGGTTATTCTGCCCCTCCACTCTGCTCTCACGAGACCCCATCAGCAGTATTGTGTCCAGCTCTGGGGTCCCCAACATAAGAAGAATACGGATCTATTGGATCAGGTCCAGAGTACGGCCATGATGACAATCAGAGGGCTGGAGCACCTCTCCTCTGAAGACAGGCTGAGAGAGTTGGGGTTGTTCAGCCTGGAGAAGATTTCTAGCAGCCTTCCAGTAGCTAAAGGGGGCTTACAAGAAAACTAGAGAGGGACTTTCTATAAGGGCGTGTAGTGATAGGATAAGGGGTAATACTTTAAACTGAAAGAAGGCAGATTTTGATTAGATATAAGGCAGAAATTCTTCCCTCTGAGGGTGGTGAGGCACTGGAACAGGTTGCCCAGGGAAGCTGTGGATGCCCCATCCCTGGAAGTGTTCAAGGCCAGGTTGGACGAGGCTTTGAGCAATCTGATGTAGTGGAAGGTGTCCCTGCCCGTGGCATGGGAGTTGGAACCAGATGGTTTTTAAGGCCCCTTCAAATACAAACCATTCTATGATTCTATGACTCTATGACTCTATGACAAGAGTAACTGTTTCACCTTCCCTCAGTTATATCACTGTTTCCATGGACTGTATTAGCAGTGCACCCTACCACGAAAACAATAGGACTTGCAATTTTCCTGACTATGAAGAAATACAAACCAATTCCGTATTGGATATTTCCTCTTCCTCCTCATCAAAATGCTAACACGCATTCCCAATCCAGAAAAACTGCACCATGTAATTTATGATGCTAAACAAGGAAGTATCACACTGCAATTATGAAACACTGACGTTTTGATATCACAGGACACTTCGTGATCTGTAAAGAAACACGTCCCTGAACATAATGATCGTTGAAGTGAAAAAGGAAAATTTTTTGTTTCATAGCTCTGAAAACCAAGTTCAACAGAATCAACATCCAAAAATATTCAACATGTTCACCTTGCCAAGCTGCTAAAAAATATTGTGTATTAGCTAGCCTAAATCTTCCTTATAACATGTTACAGTCAAGAAGATATTCCTTTCCTTTTTGGAACTGACTTCTATAAATGTTAAGATTTCTGCCTTATCCCTTCTCTAGAATAAGTCTGAATTGTTCACTTTTTCTCCTCAAGTCCCATTTTGCAGGTCCTACCACTCTCCCGTGAATTCTGCCCAATTGGTCTGTGTCTTTTCCTGCAGAATCAACACGCTAGTCCAACACACGCATTTGGGAGGCTCTAATTCTGGCTATTCAAGCCAGAAGGAAATTTGACTTTTTTTTTCTTGAGAGTAGAAATCTGGTTCCATTTATTATTCCACCTATCCTGTATTTGCATGTGTGGTTATCCCGCATTCTACCTAGCTTTAAAAACAAAAAGCCCAACAAAACACAGGAGAAAATGCAGATTGGTAAAGCTAACATTGAACAGTACCATCACCTGAACTCCCCCTTCTTTATTAACAGCAACAGAAGTAGCAATTGGCCCTCTCTGACTCAGTCAGCCTTAACAACTGGAGCACAGCTACACGCCAGCCCTTGAACCTCAGTGAGGAAGAATGCAGATCATTATGAATATTGCAGGATCTTCTGTAAATAATCTCAGTTTCTCATTTCCTATATCAGAAAAAAAGGGAAAAAAAAAGGAAAAAAAAAGAGGACAGTAAACCCATTTAAGATACTGATCAGAGCTCTTAAAATGTTCTGTGTCATTGTATTTAGGAGTCATAAGTGTGTGCGTTTGTGTGACTATAAAGAAGATACTGTGAGAAATTGACTATGTTTTCATCAAAGGATTAAGATTGAGAAAGTAATATAATGAATCTTCAGAGATATAGCAATTCTCAATTATCACCTCAGTCTAAGAGAAATCTGTCTCACTCTACCACTAGTATTGGTGCAAACCTGCACTAAAATAATACGGAAAATTAATCCAACATTTAATTCATACAGTGAAGGTGAACACGAACACTGTCAAAGTTCACATGCACAGCGAAGAAAGCCGCAGGAACCATATAGAATGCAACTTACTCATTTTTTCTCTTTCTGAATATTAAAAAAAAAATCAGATTTATGGAGAAAATATATTTAATTTGTAAAGGAGACCAAATCACGAAAACAAAAAACCCAGGAAGAATTAAGTGAAAACTACAAGAAGTTTATTTAAAGATTTCAGTGATTATTTTTCTGGGGTGGGGGTGGGTTTGTGCATTATAAAGATATATGGGACCATCAGTCAGGTTTTGTTCTGCGTTTTCTGTTGTTGACTCAGCAAGTTGATGCTTACAACGATTTGCACTGTTTTTTGTCAAAGCGATCCATGGAGGAACTCTGTTGCAAATTAGGCTCAACAGCAGAACGTTTTACCCATACAGAATGTCTAACTTCTGTTATTATATTCTGTATTTTACTTAAACCTCAAGCTTCTTAAATGGTTCTGAAATGTGCCTTTTAAGGTTTAAGGAATACATTTACCAATTCTCCTGCATAGTTTGTACTTCTCAAAATTGTCAGAAAACGTTTTCACTGTCAATCAAATTCTGGTTTTGCTTTCTGGGATTCAGAAGGCACTAGAGGACCACATTGAAGCTATCTGCTGGGTCCATCTGGATCTCTTAGACTTACCGAGGTTACACACCCTGCACCTATATAGTATTTTTTTGAGTACCTGCATAGACAGACATAAAACCCTACACAATAGCAGCTAAGCCATAAGCTCAGACAAAATTAAGACAGCTAAGAGAGTTTAGGATTTGCTATCCACAGCAGCTAGGAGTTATAAAACTGCAACACCCAGTCTACATTCACGAAAGCCAGACTGCCCTTTTTCTGATTTTAGAGGCTGTGGCTCCTCAGCCCGCTACTCGGCTCAGCACTGAGGAGCAGTACGGGGACGGTGTGCCGCAGAGGGGCTTGCTGTACTCGGACAGGTGGCACAAGCCCCCCTCGCACCGTTTCTGCCACGGAGAGGTATTTGGCCAGAGATAATCTGCAATACTCACGGTACCAGAGAGAGAAGAGGACAGGGAAGTGCAGGGAGGAAGAAACCGTGCGGACGGTGTGGATGGCGGTGTGGCAGGACGCATAAGACAGCACAGCAGAAGGAAAAGAAGACGATCAGCAGTCCCACCTTACAGCAACTGCCAACTGCCTTTGGCCCTCAGGTGCTCGCTCGCCCCTTGGCAGCAACTGAAGCACGAAATGTAAGCATAGCATTCTTTTTATTTTATGCTTAGCTGACTTCAAATGCCCACGCTGCCACACTTCGCTAATACACATCCACCTGCACGCAGCAGGACTTTAAGAGGGGTTGAAAAGAAAAGATTTAAGACTCAAGCTTAAATTATTCCAATCTAATAATGTGGGCGACCACCCAGTTTTGGATGTTGGCCAGGCGCCCAGCCGCGAGGCCGGGCACACGCCCCTCT